AGACCAAAGCTGTCAGGAAAACCTAGATATTCGGATCAACCTCACCCCACCCCTGTGGAGGAGTGCCATCGGTTTGTCGACATCAAACAGTGTGAGCAACGGGGAACGCAGCTATAGAGAGGGAGGACACAGCTGGTGGAAGATAGGTTGTGCAAACAAAATGCCAAGCCAGACAGCAAGTGGCCAGGGACGGGAGAGCCCTGGAGATGAAGGATCCTAAGAAGATTATGGCTTTGAAACCAAGAACCCACAGGGAAGTGTCTGTAGAGCAAGTAAGCTTTCGGGCAGGAGAAAGTATAGGCGGGGTGTGCAGCACATTGCAAAGGGGTAAGGGAATAGAGCAGGGGAGGGCTGCTCTCAGTCCAGAGGCAAGAGTCACCCAGTGAGAAGCCAACCCATAGAGTGGCAACTAGAAGCCCACGTGCATGCGCAGACAAACGGCCCTGTGCAAGCCTGCCATCTGTACCAGCGTGTGCCCCGAGGCACGCACCAGGTGAGCAAGCAGCCAAGATGTGCAGGTCAGGCCACACCCACCACACCCTCCCAGAAGTGAAAGCTATACACGAATCTATACAAGCCTAACCATGCCCCCTCACTCCTTCCCTGATACTCAGGCACCAACAATCGGGCAACCACCAGTTAGCCTACACAGTGCCAACCCAGCCACCAGCACAAATATCCCCTGCACCCAGACCCTGGCGACCAGGTGGACACCTACCAGCAATCTCAGCCACATCCTGACAGGTCCTATTCACACCTCTGCCAAATTCCAAGCCCCCACGTCCAACATCCACCCAGGGCAACATCACACAGCTCACACCCAAGTAATTCCCGTAGGCAGTCTGCACAGTGCACTCAACCCCTGTGTTGTTCATTTCTGCATGCACAGTGGGCCTCCCCACTCCATTTGTATCACTCCCTCTCAGTGGAGATAGAGATGGGCTCCCTGACTGACCCCCAGAGAATGCACTGAATGCTAGCACCAACCCAGAAGGCCCTCATGGTCCAACAAGGGCTGGTGAGGGACCGTGCCACCCAGCACATGTGTCCCAGTTCCAGGAAAAGAACCGGCCCGGACACCTACACTCAATCTGACGAGAGGAGACCTATGAGCCCCACTGTAGTGGGTTCATGGATGGGGCTGCGGAAATCACACTCGGCCAATAGAGATATAACCAAAGTCACCCAGACACCGGGAAGCGAAAACTCCACCAGCCGAAATAGCACGAAGGAAGAAAAACATGTGAACTAGAAAAAGAAGAAAAGAAGAAACAAGGCTCCATACACATCGAAACCTTTCCTTCTAATCAGCACAAACATTCATTAAATCACTGGAGAAACAGATAAATAAATTAACATCACAACCTCGGAGACAGCAGACAATAACCAATCATATGAAAGAAGAAGAAAAGCAGAATAAGATGCCTCAACAAGTGAGCAAAACTAAGGGGCAGAAAGACTTTCTGAGGAATAAATGGTCATAGAAGTACCTAACAGTCAATGAGGGAGTGAGTGAGAAGGAATGAAAGATACGTATGGCTATGATATAGATAAATGTACATCTATTCTTCAAAGAGATCAGGGGGAAAAACATAGATAAAACCCCACTGATATATA